GAGGAGGAGGAGGAGGAGGAGGAGGATCATGATCAGGAGGAGGAGGAGGAGGAGAAGGAGGAGGAGGCGGAGGAGAAGGGGGAGGGGTAGGAGGAGGGGGAGCCCTTCACCATTCCCTGAGCATGGGGCGGACTGACGGAAGTTAGATGCCCGTCGTTTGTCGTGATGTCTGAGGGGTACTTACCTGCAGCCCTGCCCTCTCGGAACAGGATCCAGTGAGGCAGCAAACACGCGGTGGCTCCCTGGCAGGGGAGAGAGCCCCCCCCACCCGGCGTCAGCAGTGAGCTTCGGAATCGGGAGCCTCGAGACGGGGGTCAAAGCAAACGGGGGTCAGCCAGGGCTCTGGATCCTGCATGATCCTGCGAAGACCCCCTCTGGCTGACCCGGGTTAGCGAGCCGCTCGTGGCTGCGAGGCGGCCGTGCATATTGGCTGACCCGGGTTTGCGAACACCTGTGTTTCAGTTTTTTTATTGCATTGCAGTTTTTTGGTTTCCTGTTGACCTGGGTCTGGATTGGATCCCCGACGGAAGCTCCAGTGCGAATTTTTGTGTGCCAGGGACCGCCCTCGCCTTCTCGAAGGTGATGTTTCTCGGTCAGGCCTCCTGACTGTTGTTGCGTTGCCCAGCCCCCCTGAAGAACAAGAGGAACATGTGATGTGTCACGCTTTAGCGCCGGGAACCCGAAGTCAGAATTTCAATCTTTTGGGCTGAGAGCCGCGTCCTCCCTTTCAAGGCCGGTCTTGTTGCGCTTGCACGACAGGCAGGATTCAGTGCCTCAGCGCTCCAGGAGCAGAAGGGACAGGAGGGGGATGCCAGTCCCGTTCAGTGCACTGTTGAAACTGCCAGCGCGCGTCTGAAACGCCCGTCCCTCGTCTGCAGCCTCGGTCTCCTTTCCCCCCCTCAGCCACACCCTCCCTTTTCCGCCTGCCTCCCTCCTCCCTCCTCCCTCTTGGAGGCGTCTGGGAGGCCCCCGGGGGTCTTCCAGACATCCGGCGTCTCGATCTTTCCGCCTCCCGACCGCTTCCCCAGGACCTGTTTTTTCGCCCCGAGGCGGTTTGTGCACGGCTCCCGGGCCCGAGGAGGCCGAAGCCGACGAGCAGCCCCCGGTTGGTTTTTTGTCGAGACGCCTGATGTCTCTTTTTTTTTCAGGCAAAGTCCCTCCCTCTTCCCTCCCTCTCTCTCTCTCTCCCTTCTCTCCCTCCATCCCCCCCCTCTCTCTTGGCCGATATGTGTCGGCGCCCAGGCTCGGACCGCCCTCCCCCGTCGCGGTACGAGGCGGAGGGGCTCCACCCGCGCGTCGCGCGTGTGCGCCTGCTCGGGCGCGCATGCCCGGGCGCGCCGGTCGACGGGGAGTGCGAGCGCAGACAAACAAAAAAACTTGTTTTTCAGGCAAAGTCATGTTGTACAGGTTGAAGTGTTTCGTCTGGCCAGACTACAGGGTTCGTAAATCCTCGGGGTTCTCAGGCTTCTCTCGGAACCATTTTGCAAGCCCTTCCGGGGCTTGTTTGGGGGCCTGCGGGGGACTTTCGCGGCGGTCCTCGGCCCGTCTTGGGCGCCATGGTGCTGCCGAGCTCCTCCGAGGCGCTTCCCAGTGCAGCCCTGTTGGGGCGGTCTGTGCGAACTCGGAGACTCTTTTTGGAGCTTTCTCGGTGAGGTCTTGGGCTCTAGGCCTTCTAGATGGGATCCGAGTAGATGGGGTCGGAGGATCGTGCCGCATCGCCGATGCATCGCCGATGCATCGCCGATGCGGCTCGATGCGGGACCCGATTTTCTCCACGACGATGTCGCCGATGTACCGCCGACGTGGCCGATGCATCGCTGACGCATCGCCGATGCATCGGCGATGCATCGGCGAGGCGGCGCGATCCTCCGACTCCATCTACTCGGACACCATCTAGGAGGCCTCTACGGGCCGCCTTGAGGGAGTCGTGTGCCGGCTCGAGGCCGTCTTGTGGCGTGTTGGGCCCCTCTGGAACCGTGTTGGGCCTCTCAGAGACATTCGGAGGTGTCTCAAGTCGCGGAACATCGGACTCTCAGGCTTATCGGCGTTTTTGGCTCCCGAGGCCTATGTTTCAAAGCTATCGGGGCGCTTCTTGAGAGCTGTACGAGGCTCTTCTTGGGCATATCTTGGAGCGTCTGGGTGGCCCGGGCTTCGCAGGATAGCACTTGGGCTACCTGGGCGCTTATCGTGGCCGTCTTGGAGCTTTCCGGGGACGGTCTTGGCCCGTCTTACGGGGAGGCGACCTCTAGCACGCGCGCGCTGCGAGGGAGGGGGGGCGCCCATAGAAAAGGCGCACCAAACAGCAGCTGGGCATCCTGACGCGTCGCAGCGTGTCCGATTCGTCCCCTCAGCTTTCCTCCTTCTTCTCCCAAAAGATGCGCTCAAAAAAATGCGTGCCGAGGGAACGGTGGCGAATGCCGCTTCCTCTCAAGGTGCGCGTGAACAAGTTGATCCTCCAGCTTTTTCCTGTTTGTACTCGGTGTTGAAGCGGCCCTTCTGCCGCCCCCGGGCGCTGACGCGGCAGGGGCAGCATGGTTGGCGGTCGGGGCCTCCTCCTCCTCCTCCTCCTCCTCCTCCTGCTCCTCCCTCCTCCTCCTCCTCCTCCTTCTCCTCCTCCTCCTCCTCTGCTCCTCCCCCTCCCCGGGCGATCCCGTGCTCGAGCCGGCAGAGGCCGAGCGCCCCGCGGGCGTGCCCCGCAGGGGGCCCCGGGGAGACACTCTTCGCTCGAGCCCGCCGAGGCCCAGGGGCCCTGGGGACCCCCGCGGGCCCAGGGGTGCAGGGCCGGCGGGGGCGCCACCAGCGCAGGGGCCCTCCTCTTGGCCTTGGCATCGTTCGGACGTGTGCATTTTTTATCTTCGGGGGCGGCCGAGAGGGGGGGGTGATGACTGGGGGGGGGGATCTCATGGCGTGGGTCATGATATTTCCTCAGATTTCGTGGCGCCTCCTCGTATTTCGTTGCGTCCCTGGCCCCGCCCCTGGGCCGCGCGCGTGCCGCCGGCCACGACTTGCGCCCCCCCCCTCCCCCCTCCCTCTTGGACGCCCCCCTTTTTCCTGGGACGCCCCCGATCGCGGCACCGCTCGGACGTGTGCCTTTTTTTTGGGGGGGGGGAGCGTGGACCCTCGAGGAGCCTTGCGCGCCACCCTACGAGGCGAAAAGTGAATCCTTTTCTTTCGGGGGGGGGGGGGGGGGGACCCAGGACCCTCGAGGAGCCCCGTGCGCCGCCCCGCGAGAGAGGGCGCGCGCGCGACGCCGAGAGGTGCGCGGGGACGGGGCGCCCGAGCGAGACTGGGGCGGCCTCGGCCCTGCCCGGGGGGCCCCCGCGGGGGGCCCCCCTCGGCGGGCGGAGCCCGCGCTTCGGGGGGGGGGGGGGGCGGCGGGGGAATGGGGGGCCACATGCGAACCCGCCTACCCCCCGATTTCTGAGGGGAGGGTGGGGTTCACCTCGCTCGGGGAGCTCCCCGAGCGAAGTGAACCCCACCCTCCCCCTCAGAAATCGTGGGGGGCCACATGCGAACCCCACCCATACCCCCCACGATTTCTGAGGGGGAGGGTGGGGTTCACTTCGCTTCCCTTCAGAGATCGTGGGGGGTTAGGGGTGGGGTTCGCAGGTGGCCCCCCTAGGGAGGGCGTCGGGCACGGCGCCCGGGGAGGCGGCGCGTGCCTCCTCGTGCCCCGCCCGTCCTCCCGCGCACCCTCCGCCGCTCGCCGCCCGTCCTGCGCCCCCCGCCCGCCCCCCCGCCCGCGCCGCGCTTCGCCCCTTTCGTTGCTCCGTGTTGGTGACTTGCGCTGTCTCTCTCTCTCTCTCTCTACTTCTCTTTCTCGCTGTCTCGCTCTCTCTCGCTCTCTCTTCTCTACTTCTCTCTCTCTCTACTTCTCTCTGTCTCTCTCTCGCTGTCTCGCTGTCTCTCTTTCGCTCTCTCTCTCTCTCTCTCGCTCTCTC